ATCAATTTTGTAAAAGGGGTTAGTTTTGAATTATTATGATAATAAATATTTTAAAAGAATTTACTTTTAGAAAAGGAATTATTTTAGATTAATTATAATGAGAAATGGTTTTAAAATAAATTATTTTGGAAAAAGATTACTTTCTAAATTTTATAGATGTTGTTTATGATTTATGATTCTTAGATTTAATTACATGATATGCCATGACATGGTTGTATAGGATTGGTTGTTTTTATTTATTGTTCCTGGTTGTGTTTGAGAACCATTAGTAGTTCATGACTTAGGGGCCTCGTGCGTCATGAACAGACCTAGTGACATGTGTGGGTGTGTTGACTGAATTTAGGAGGTGGATCAGAGATCTATTTCAAGTTATGATTGTTGACTTAGAAAATACAAGAGATTTGGAATGGGAAAGTCATGGTTCATATGATCGAATAAGGCTGTTGATGTATCTTCCAGACTCGTACCAGTGAACCGTTACTCACTGGGGTTTGTTTGTTGGGCCAAGTGAATGTTTCGCACTTGGTCAGTGAAATCGTTTCGTCACGTAAGTTTTGCTTGAGTTCGAACCAGGCCGAAATCAGATTGCGTGCAGTCCTCTCACCGAACCGTTTTGCGGGTTTGGATGCATGTAGGGGATTTGTGAACAGTCAGTTATCCGATGATATGAGCATTGACTCTCTGTGAGATGTGACCAGTGACCTATTATAGAATGGCTAGTTACATGTGTTGGGTCCTCTTGTTTTGATAATGATTTAACAAACAATATACGACTAATATTAGTTTTAGTATGTTGTTTTGTGTTGTTTAGTATATACAGGTACATTCAAGAATTTGAGCAAAACCAATATATTGAAGTCATGCATAACAAGTACATCCATTCAAGTCCAAGCTTCAGGAGAATCATTATTGGTATACTTAGTATAGGATTATATTATGTGTGTTAATTCTATACGCTCAAATATACACGCACATTATTTTTTCTTTCTTTGAATTTTCATGAAAATATGTGCTTTATGCAAAATACATTCAAATATGTTTTGGACTATACAAACCTTGTTTACACCTTTTATTATGTCCATAAAAAAATTACACAAGTTTTTCAAAATTTGATTTGAGCCAAATGTCAAAATCAACATATTTGAAAAACATGTATTTTGGCACTTTTGAATATTTCTGAGTTTTCACAAATGGTAAGAGCAATTTGAAAAATTCTTTTTCAAACATATTCATATTCATGATTATAAACTTTTCCTAAAGTTTTATATTTTTTGGAATTTTTTTACTATTTTTTATAGAGCCTTGAAACTCACTTTCAAAATTTAATTCAGGCTGATAACTGGTTATTGTAGGCATATAAAATTGCTCATAGGTCCCCTAGCATAGCTCGGCACAAACCGACGAACCAACGAGGCGACGAGATCGACGAATCGCACAGAAGCGACGGAATGCATCCATACGCGTTCGGAATCAAGCCAAGTGTTAAGGAATCAACGAGTCATCCAACCGAGAACAGACTCGGACGAATCACGATCGAATCAAGATCAATTTCGGACTCGAACTCAGAAGCGGATTTACTGCCAAATCAGGAATCCGACTTACTGCCAAATCAGATCAACCAATCAGAGTCTCAATCAACCGAATCACGGACAAAACCGGAAAACGGACACAACTCGAAAAAATCGGAAAACACCGCCCGCGGGGGCTCGGCCAAAGCACGCTCTCATTATTGCCTCTCTTTATTTGGCACAATTGAACACCTGCTCAAACTCGGTAGGGCTGAGCATCAAGCAAAGCCTACGATGTTGAGAATCCTCCCCGGGGCAACATTGATCAAAAGGTTTGTTCATATTCTTTCTGTAAATTTATTTCAATATATGCTTGCTTAATTATGCATATATTCATCATGGTATTTTGTGAAGAATAAAATACCCAATGAGGGAATTTCCCCCATTCATCAATACTAGTGTGCACACCGTGCAATGTTGGGGATTCGAAACAATCAAATCGAACCCGTGCCCTTCCGGATCTTATGTTTGAAAAGTAGGCAAACAAGAAATCACCGCAAATAAAGATCAAAACTTGCAGGAAATAAAGAACAAAAGAGAACACACGGATTTAACGAGGTTCGGCAACGTGCCTACGTCCTACGTCCTCGGGAGCCACACCACACAATTTCTTTGATTAATTGAAGAAGATTACAAGCTCACAAACTAGGGTTTAATCTCTCTGAGATCTCTCTGAGATCTCTCTCACAAAACTCTCCTTTTTTTGTCTCTCTTTAGATGCCTTCAACAAACCCTAAAAACGTTTGGGTATATATATAGCAATCCCAGCCCAAACAGAATTTCAAACTAATTAGGAAACTGCCAGCACGACGCAAGGTCGACCGACGCTCCATGCGCGGTCGACCGCACAGAACGACAGAGACCAAAAAGTTTGCAGTGTTTGGCGCGGTCGACCGCCGAGCCAGTCACGGTCGGCTGTGAAAAGTCCAGAGACTTTCCAGACTTCGTGCACCTTTGCCGTCGACCGCTGCGCCATGCGCGGTCGACCGTGGCTCATCCTGACTGTTTTCTTCGTTTTGATTTCAGCTTCGGCTTCAGCTTTAGGTCTACACACTTAGACTAACACGCAAAGCGCAACCCCTTATTTTTTTAAGCAATGCATTTTGAACTTGTCTTCTCCTAAGTTTTAATATATTTGATTTAATTATTATATGCTTAAAATTAGATATCGTATCTACTCCTCTATACTTAAAAAAGATCTAAGTTTTAATATATTTGATTTAGAAATCATATCTACTCCTCTATACTTGAAGAAGGGTTCAGGTTTTAATACATTTGATTTGTTGTACTGTTCATGATGCATAAACACTGTAGCATAAATAGGACCTTCAAGTATGGAAGAGCAGATTTGATTTACTGTTTATGCTGTAGCATGAACAGTAGCTTCGAGTGCAGAGATCTGGCCTTAAGTATAAACTGTAGCATAAACAACAGTAATTATTTGGATTCTCCTTTAAGAATGGAGGAGTAGATAATTTTATTTAGAATAAGAAATAAGTAACTTTTACTATTGCAACTTTTAGGTATGCCGAGGTGATTGTGATGCAGAGAGGTATATACGGATGTCACACACGGGGAGGAACCAGATAGAGAGATGTTAATTCTAATCCACAAATGGACGTGGTTTAAATTATATCCACCCTGTTCATCTTGATTGACCACATTTGGAGTCCCATGTACAAAAATTGAAGGACTTAACTTCGACTAATATCCTTCAAGTACATATATAATATAAGAGTAATGGTTGAATACATCTTATGACTTAACTTCGACTAATAGATCCGTACGTATTTAAATTTGAAAGAGAAGACTTTGGCCCTTTGCTTCCATATTTTCTTCAATGGGACATGTCCTTTGTGTCTCTCATGTATGTGAGCATGCAGGCGCACTTCCGAGCGCCCATGTGTGGTGTGTTTGTTTGCGCATGCGTGTATTTATACGTGGATGTGGATGCTTATACACAACTATGTGCGCATTTCTGTGTGGGCATGTATGTTTGTGTGTACATGACCATGACTGCACAAGTATCACATGCACGTGTGCCATGTACGCGATCACACACGTGCATGTCTATGCTTATGCACTCATGTTTGCAAACCCACCTCTGAATGATCGAAGTGGGTGCATAATGGGGGCATGTTTTTACCGAAGCAATGAACAAATTCACTTCCATTACAATAAGATTTTGGTACCTACATATATGAACAAATAACCGAGGACTAAAATGAATCTTTAGTATAAAATCTATCCTAATGTATAAGATTTTGCAGCAGCATATCACCGTGGTCGGGGTCTTCGCCGTCGCCCAAGCTTCAGATCTGAACCCTTCCGCCGTCGTTGTCGCTTCCAGATCTCATCGCCGTCACGTCGTGGCCGTCGCCCAAACTTCAGATTTGACTTCCGCCGTCGCCGTCGCTTCCAGATCTCGTCGCCGTCTCCCGTAGATCCCTTCGCCGGTGATCTCAACGCACTGTAACTCTGTAAGCATTATTTTTGCCTGGTCTGATTAAATTTTCTTTTTTTTTGCTGAATATATGATTTTTTTTAGAATTTATTCACTCCTCTCTTGTTCTGATTATCAACTCTTGCAAACGCAAGCATTGCAAGTAATGTTTCAAAACCACAACGGTGTTTTCAAAACACTTTGGGAGAGAAAACCAAACACCAATGTGTTTTTCTATGATGTTGCTCTTGTTTATCCGCCGTTCCTACATCCTGCGGCCTGCCAGAGTCTTGACGAATATGCGCGCCACCTTGTCTGGAGCAATCTTTGGATTGGCACTACTTGTTTTCGTTGTTTCTGCAACAATTTGAAGCGTACTCCCAGGGGGGTTTATGTTTTTTTATTTATTATAGGTTTCGATAAACGAATTTATCACTTATCTGACTAAAAAAGGAATAAAATACTATTTGGATGGATACGATATGGTTTTGTTTTGAAGCGACCTTGCATTTCCAGCTGCTTAAGATTTTAATGTCTACTTGGAATCGAATTTAACTCTCGCTGGGAATGTGCAGGTGAATATCTCATTTCTGCCTAGTAAAGTAATGCTGTTCCTTGAAAATAAATAAAAAAAAACTCCCACAGATCCTCTAAAGAATAGTAATAGGTTACAAATTAAAATCACGGCCATGGACCAGGGGAATTACTACTAATGCTCCTTGGTGCTATCGTATCGTTATCCTCCAAGGAATAATGCTTCTTGGTTAATTCCCCCAAAACACATTTCTCAGAATAACAGCCAATATGACCTTACTTGTTACCATAATAAAAGGGAGAATGAACCGATAAATTAGAATAATAAATATCTAAACAAATTAAAGAAGAAAGGAAGAAGAAGAAGAAGAAACAGACTAAAAGGCTTCTGATCTGCAGGGCATAATGCACAAAAGATTAAAATAACAAAAAAAAGGTGAAAGAAGGAGAAACAAAAAAAAGTAAAAGAAGCTCATACACAGACATCAAAAATTCCATCAATCTTATAGGATCATAAAGTCGTGAGTCTAGTGTCTACGCATTAAAGTATTTTAAACACGACACCCTCATTCGAGGCCGTCGCCACACTCACAGCTCTATTCTGACGGCGATCAGAAACGACGCAAAGCCGCGAGAGTTGCCAGTACCACTAATCCAACGAACAATGAAGTAACCATCACACAAATGAATGTGGCGGTGTGGAGGCAACGCATGTCCCAAAAGTATAGAAGGAATATGATAACTAAGCAGAGAAACACTATGCCAAGCGCGATGCTAAGCGTCAGTACCTGAGAGAGCCGTGTCATCCTTCCACCAATATTAGCCGACATTACGGCGAAAGGGACCGCAGAAGCCAGTGCGATCAGACCCAATGCTAACGGCAACAAGATCTTTAGCCGAAGTTTTCCCTCTGGTGCAGCCTCTGTCGCGCCAGCTTCTATATCACCAGACGCACCATCGGTTGGATGTTCCTGAGGTTGAAATCAAGAGCTAGCGACTTAGTTTCTTGACAGTCGAACGAACTGGATTTCTAGTTAATAAAAGAAACCTTGTAGACATTGACATGCGTGTAGAGAGTCGATTCCTTCTTTCGCCTATGTCGGCCTGATTAATCGTTATGATGCTTAATTGTTGTTGCAAAGTTTGCTACAGGCTTGTACTACTTTTGAATACTTCTCTTTCCTGTGGAGGCCGTAAGCCAAGGACGTTTTTTTAGAGATGTCGCAACAAGCGTAAAACGGGAATACAAGGTAATAACAGCATGTATATGTCATAAGCAAGTGTTATAGATGACCACTCAATGCGAATCGATCGTGAAACTTTCTTCAACCTGTTCCCTAACGATTTGCGAGGTTTTCAGGTTTTGATTCATGAAGAAATGCCATGTGCCCAGCTATTATTGTCAAGCTGTTTCATCTACACACCGGAGTGACAGTTGATGGCGTAGATCAAAATCATGCCTGTAACGCTGTGGGTGGGTGCGGTGATTTCAGCACAAAGGGGGTCAATATATGGTTCAGATTCTTAATTAATTTGTTCTGTGTTCATGGTCACATCGACGACGAGGAGGAGGAGGAGGAGGAGAGAGCTAATTTGGGCATGCGAGCACAATCAAACTAGCTAGAGAATATACATTGCAGTAAACAAGAGGTGAGCAAAATGCTAGCTAGTGTTACTGTAGTCCTTGGCATCCACCGCCCGCGTGGATCTCCAAATTCTCAAGAATTTGAGATGCCACTCTTGATGCAGAATCCGGCATCTTTCCATATTCTTGTTGAACAGCACAATTAATAAATGGAACGAATCGAAAACGCGAAATGATTTTTACGTACCCTGTCTGATGATGGTGTCGTCGTCGTCCTCCTTGTTGTTGAGGAGGAGGGAAGTAGGGGGGAGCCTGCAGAGACCCTCCCCAGAATCCTGGGTGCGTTTTCCCAGGCGGCGATCCGTACGTCGAGCAAGATCGTCGAGGCGATGATCCAACTCAAGGACATGAGCTGCCACCGTATTCCAGTCAGAGACTCTGTTCGGACGACGCCGTATGCCTCCTCCGTTACTCGCAACTTGGTCCTCCGCCGCCGCCGTCGTCGGCAACGTGTCAACCCTACAAAGGGGTTCCTCCGAGCTGAGGGGTTCCACCGCATCCGGCCAGAGATCCGTTCGGCACGGCCGCGTCCATCTCCCTCGCTCGCCTCCTCCGTTTCTCGCGACGTGGTAGCCCCACCCCATCCAGTCAGATGACGGTTCGGCCCACCACTCCGTCCATCTCCGTCGCTGATTCTGAACTGAGGGTGCCACCGCATCCGGCCAGAGATCCGCTCGAGACGACGCCGTCCATCTCCCTCGTTGCCTAGTACGTTACTCTCAACTTGGTCCTCATCCGCCGCCGCCGCCGCCATCATCAATCCAAGGGCTGCTTCTGAGCTGAGGGTTGTCTTGAGAAAGATCAACGAGAGCTATTCAACCTTGAATTAATATTGATATTATTAAGGGAAAAATGCTTCCAGCCCCCAAAACCCAACAAAACGTGCTCACTTTTTCAACGGGTGCTTTGCTCCCAAGATCGCCCGCGATTTTCTTCCAGCCCTCAAAACGAATCCCCAGGCGTAACTCCGTTTAAACCTCACTCGAAATGCCCAAAATACTCTTACATTTAAAATTCCCCGTTATGAGTTACCTCCTCGTCCGTACCCTGTCATCTCTCTCTTCTGCAAGCAAACTGACTCCAGAAACCCAATTCAAAACCCTAGCCCTAAATCAAACGACTCCAACGCAAACCGAATCAAAGCAAAGGGATCAAAATGGCCGGCGATTCAACCTCCAAAGCCAACCTCCATACCGACCACAGCGAAAGCGATGACGCCCAGCAGTTCGAAATCTCAGAAAGAGCCCATACAACTGCAATGTGGACTAAATCTGAAGCTGGAGCTACGATTGCTGATGTTCTAGCGGACATCGCAACCAGTCATTCTTAACCCAGAAGCCCACCTCAAAATTTAAGTGTAGGCCCCCGCGAAGGTCTAGAGGGCAACACCGGCACCACCGACGCGTCCAAAGATGCCACTAGAGCGCTCCTTGGTCTACAAAGAGGAGAAAAAGAGAAGCACGTGGCATCACCCAAAAGGTAATTTTTACCGCAAGTTTTATGTTGTTAAGGTTATGGTTTGATTGATAATGCTCCTAGTCTGGTGGGAAGGTCCAAAATTACGGGTGTCCGTTAGCTGTTGAGGTTACTGCTAACATGCAAGGTTTATGCTTTTATTATTGAGGTTGTTGTTTGGTTGTTGAGGTTAGGCTTTGGTTGTTAATGTTAGGTTTTGGTTGTTAAGGTTATGGGGTTGTTGTTAAGGTTGTTGGTTTATCCGCGTTGTTAATGTTAGGTTTTGGTTGTTAAGGTTATGGGGTTGTTGTTAAGGTTGTTGGTTTATCCGTAAAATTTACAGCATAGTTGTTATGTTTACTGATTATACTCAAAAATGCTCTTGTCTTGTGTTTTTGTTATATAGAAAAAGGACAAAGCCAACTATTACGTTGCTGCCCACCGCCAGCTTCAGTGCCTATCACGACTTCATGCGGAATTTGGTGATACGTATGGGGCCAAGGCATTTTACGATCTACGAAGATAGTGTATTCAGACACTACGTCCAATTTGGCCCACCTGGTGTCGATCTTCCTACATGTGAGCACATTTTGAGTCAGTGAGACAAGAAAAGCAAAAAACTCGTCTTCACCGATAGGAATGATGGAGAATAGATCGCCTGCTCATTCAACCTTGAGTGGGTAATGGAGCATACATGGTTCTCTAATGAGGGGCTTCATGTTGACCACAATCGGGATAGGAAAAATAGGATTTGGTCCAGGTTTTTTGACAAACCCGAGGCCGGGGGTTCCAGCAGTATAGCTCCCCCCAAAGGAAGCCCCACCAGACGTAATGTGGAGGACCTGCTCTTGAAGCTAGTACTATCTTCTAATCGCCGAGATGTGAAGGACTTTGTCCTGCTACAGATCCTTTATCAGCTGAGCATGATTTGGTGTCCAAACAGTGTTTCCGGCGTTCCTAGGCATTTATTCAAGTACGTCAACAGCATCGAACAGGTCAATAACACTACTTGGGGGACCTATATATTCAGTGAGACATCTGACGCGATAGAGAGGGCACTGAAGGGTCCTGAGCCAGGGAAGATGACTTTATATCTGCAAGGGTGTACCCCTCTAGTTTGTGTAAGTAATCATGTCTTTTATTACTGATTGTGAAGGTTAGGGTTTAGTTGTTAATGTTACAATTTGGTTGTCAATGTTACGGTTTGGTTGTTAATATTACGGTTTGGTTATTAAGGTTACGTTTTTATTGTTAGGGTTACTTATTAATTGTTACGGATAAAGGTGTTTGTTAAGTTTTTATTTCTCTAATATGCAGTTGTGGTACTATGAACTTACCGGCATCAAGAAGCCAGCAGTTGGATGTACGGTGAGGTCTCCCATTTCAAATTGGGTGAGACTTGGAGAGGTTGCTGGTTCTTTGAGATTGGCCACTGTTGTAGCTAAAGCAAGCAAAACTACGATAAAGCTTCCACAGCAACATGGCCAATTTCAAAGAATCGATGGAGGTTTGTGGGGGAAGGAGCAGGGGATAGAGAAAGAGAAGATGAGGGAGAGAGAGAAGAGGAAGATTAAGGGACTGGCTGCAGTAGACGCCGGCAGGGCTCGTGGCCCAAGAGACCTTCTTCACAAGAAGAAGAGGAGAGCAGAAGATGACGACATCCCAATTGATGCAGTTGTAAGAATTTAGCAATCGTGGATTTTATTTGTTTTTTAATTAATTAATCCTTTTAATAATACTCTATCTGTCCATTGCATATGTGATGCCACAGGATATTGATGAAGACGTCGAGCAGCCAAATGAGGCAGTTGAGCAAATGGAATGGCCTCAGCAAGTTATCTACTGGAAGAGCATCGCGGTAATGAATCAAGCATTACGTCGCGAGAACGAGAATAAATTCAATGGTATGATTGCTGCAGACCGTGTAAAGATAAGTGCTCCTTCCGTGAAGGTGGCTAAGCTGTCTGCTCAAAATAGAAGACTGAGAGAGGAACTAAGCGAAGCACGATCCAGAACCCTCTCTGTATATAAGGATAAGGTGCTATACTTTGCCAATAAGGTGCTATACGTTGGCCATAAAGTGCTATACTTTACCGTATAGTGCTATACTTTGGCCACAAGGTGCTATACTTTGCCATAAAGTGCTATACTTTGTCAAAAGCTTCAAAATTACGCGAGGACCCCCGTCGCGGTGGATGATTGGTCAATAAACACGTATGAGAGGTCATCGAGTGTCTGCGTTGCGGTGAAAAAAAACTGATTTGGTTTTAGACACTTATGATGCAGAATTTCCAAAGAGTATAAGGTGCTATACTTTGACAATAAGGTGCTATACTTTGGCCATAAAGTGCTATACTTTACCGTATAGTGCTATACTTTTGCCACAAGGTGCTATACTTTGCTATAAAATGCTATACTTTGCCAAAAGCTTCAAAATTGCGCGAGGACCCCCCGTCGCGGTGGATGATTGTTCAATAAAATTTTTTGAACTTATAATTTCAAGTACATCTCTTCCTTATGGATAATTGAACAATAAAAAAAATTTTAACTTTTGATTTCAACTACCTCTCTTCCTTAAAAATCTGTGTTGTGTTATATTTTTCATTTCATGAAGAGCAAGTAATTGATTGGATGAGCGATACTATTCTCAATACCCAAGTGATGTGTACCATAGACTTGCTCACAAAAGGTAATGGACTTGAAGGTAGTTGATAAAAGTTTGTATTATTATAGTTTCTGAAAAACAGCAGTAATATCTATCAATTTGGAAGGACTAATATCCATCAACTTAATTTTTGTACCATTGTCCCTTCAAACAATTGGGTAAAGCCCTAACTAATATCCATCAACTTAATTCTTGGTATCATTTTCCCTTCAAACAATAGTATAGCACCTATGCTCTTGCACAGAGCTAAGCTACACAATAAACACAAAATGAATCTACCAAGTACAAATCAACACAAAATGAATACACCAACCAACACAAAATGAATTTGTCAAGTACACATAACTAAGCTCCTGTACAACTTCAACATTCACAAAATTTTAACAATAAGATATTACTGCAGGATAAAACAACAAATACACAACACCAATCAACAGATACACAACACCAAGTACAAATCAACACAAAATGAATACACCAACCAACACAAAATGAATTTGCCAAGTACACATAACTGTAGACGTCAAAAATGCTTACAGACATCCAAATATCACTCAAGACAAAGAGAAGGTGATAAACATCAGTATCTAAGTCATGGGAGATCATACAAGCCCAAAGGAAGCAAAAGGATTTGTGAATCAACACAAAACAATGTGAATTCACAGAACAATGCAAACTACAGCGTGTGGGTGCGGCAGCTCATGGTGCCGCGGCTACAGCGCGGCAGCTCATAGTGCCGCGGCTAAGACGCGGCAGTTCATAGTGCCGCGGCTTGGGCGCGGCAATCCATGGTGCCGCGGCTACTATAGGGGATGCTACAGCGGTTACGAGGTAGTTATGTGATGATTATGTGAAGTCTACGTGGCGGCGTATCAGAAATAGAACGTGTGCTGACGTGGACAAGCAGTTAAACCACGAAAAAAGGTGGTTAAAAGTCGTGGGAGGACAGTTTCAAGCACGATGGAACGTGCTGGTAACTGCCCCTGTGGCCGCTGCAGTTCATGCTGCCGCGCCAATAGCCGCTGCAGTCCGGGATGTCGCGGTCAAAGGGATAGTCGTTGATCGGCTATTTCTTCAGTTATTGTCCAAGGAGGCTATAAATACCCCCCTATGGACATCATTGACGGGGGGCTGAGCATTTTCCAGAGAGATTAGAGCAGAGAGCCTTGAGTTTTGGTGAATTAGAGCAAGAGAGAGAGTCTTCCTTCTTCACAAACATCCTCAAGAAGCTTCTAGCGAGTCCTAGAGATCTAAGCTCAGACTTGATCTTTGGAAGAGTGAACATCTTACATCGATAAGATATTCGCTTCAAATTCTTACTTCGATAAACGAAGGAAGAATCATTAAACCCCTCACGGTTCAATCAGAATCTGTGATTTGGTGGTCCACGAGTCAAAGCGCTCCCGGCACAGGCAAAGATCCCACGCAAGCAGCGATCCAAACAACGGTCCTGCGTTTGTTTCTCAAGAGTTGTAATTTTCCTTTTGTTGTGTAAAAGAAGTCTTATAAAAAGACTATTTCTTTTGAATTTATTGTAATCGACCGAAGATATAATGAATTCCACAACGAAACCAACTTTTGACGCAAACAAGCTGGCGACCACAGTGGGAGCCAACGGTCTCGCTGCCGAGACCGTCGTGTCGCAGCCGATCAAGATTCCAGTTGAATCCATGGTCGAATA